ACAAGTTGTTCCACTGGTTAATTGTCCTCACTGTCAGGAAGTTTCTCCTTAGTTTTAGGTTGCTTCTCTCTTTGTTCAGTTTCCATCTATTGCTTCTTGTTTTGCCTTCTGCTTCTTTGGAAAATATATTGCCCCCCCCCCTTCTTTGTGGCAGCCCCTCAAAAACCTGTTTTGTGACCTGCCTATCACACTCTTGCGCAAAACATGTGAGCCATTTCCTCCTTTTAGTGGTCCATGAAAATATATCTATAGTACGTCAATGCAGATAATAAAGTTGAAAAAAGGTGTCCGGTTTGGCGTCCCAGCGATGCAGTCAGGGAAATAGCGGGCTCTGATGAGCCCCACGAAAACCCTGACTGACGAGCCGCCGCCGATGGGTCTTTGGACCGAACCTGTCTTATAGGGACAGGGGAAGGAGAGGGGCGCCTCGGACGGCCAAGAGGAACAGGCAAGTTCCTCGGAGGCTGGAGGGAACCCTCTGAGTCAGCGGCAGGGGGAGGCAGCCATGGCGGCTGCCACAAAGCTGGGACAAACAGGGAAAGAATTGTGCAGGAGGAAAGAAGAAAGAAAGAACGATGTGCTTTGAAGCCGGTGAGTGACACCAACCCAGGCAAGAAACCACGTTAGACTATGGACTTTTACTAATAAGACCCCCAGCCTTAAACAGCGGCTGTAGATTTGTGGGGCTTGAAGATTTTGTAAAGTAACAATAGGGGATAACGACTTTAGTACTGATTGTTTTGGACAAATTGGCTATTAACAAATCAGAAAACTGAGTTTTCCTTCAAATTGGAACAGATTCGATCTTTGAAAAAGAGAAAAGCAACAAATAAGGACTTAAAACCTTTAAAAGTTAGATGAAGCAAGGCAAACGGATGGTTACATAATTGCTACAAAATGGAGATTGCTGTGACTAAGCGAAAGTGTCTTCTGCTTGAAAAAGAAGTATTTTGACTGGCTATTTACCCTGGATTACTTAGAAAATAACTGGATTTTTGGATTTTGGAGATACCTATTCTGCTTATGGGTGGTTTTATAAAGAAAGAAGAAATATAATGGAACTAATAAAATCGAAACTAACTGGTGCAGGGACAAAAGAAGTGGCGCAGGAACAAAAGAAGGAACTGATGAATTCTACATGGAACAGACTTTACAATAGAATTAAAATGATATATAGAGTTTCAAACATGGATATACTGATTTTGAAGTGGAATACTTACGGACAGATAGGAAAATGAAGAAATAAAATAGATAAACTTAAAATGTAATGTTTAAATGTTTAAATGAGTTTTAAATATAAGCAGAAAGTGTCTATGGAGAAATAAAGATGGAAAATAAAAGAAGGTAACTAAAATAGAAATTTGATGTTAAGGTGGTTAAAAACGATATTTTTACAAAAGAATAAGAGTATATATTAATATGAGACAAACTTAAGAAAATTTATTAGACTAAGGGAGAATAAGTGGAGAATATGTCTGATGCAATATGTTGTAATTTTAAATTGTAAAATTTATTAGACTATGGGAGAACAAGTGGAGAATATGATTGATGTAACATGTTTTAATTTTAAATGGTGAACAAAGTTGAGAATGGTAAATATTATTAAATGTGAATGATTAATGAACTATTGGATGATAAAATAAGAAACACAGACTTAAGTAACAAATTGCGATTGAATTTAATGTATGTTGGAAATGATCAACATTAAGAAATAGGTTGGGAAACACCCTGGAAGAGTATATTTGGAAATAATTAAATAATAGATAAATATACTGAAAAGAAAACACTCAAAATAAGATATGCTGGGTATCAGCCAAACAAGAGGTGGAGATGTGGAGGACAATATGCTGGAAATCAGCCAAAATAAAATATGCTGGAAATCAGCCAAACAATAGTTGGAGGTAGGGAGGAAAAATATGCTGGAAATCAGCCAAAATAAAAAGAAATGTTGGAAACCAGCCAAACAACAGTTGGAGTTATGGAGGAGAATATGCTAAAATTCAGCTAAAATAAAAATTGCTGGAAATCAGCCAAACAATAGCTGGAGATATAGAGGAGAATATATTGGAAAATAGTCAAATTAATATGGGGTGAAAAAGAATATGTTAGAAGACAATTAAAATGAAGTGAAACGATTTTGAGATTATTCTGTGTAAAATGAAATGTGTAATAGATGATAAGCTCAAGAAAATTAAGTGTAAATTGACAAAGTTTAAGATCTAAAGATTGGATGAAATGGGTCCAGACATTAAGAAATACAGATAGAATTTTGATTTATAAATTGAAATAAAAATAGAGTTGTATATATTGGAAATTAAGATTTGTGGTGATAAAATAGTAAGGTAAATACTTAGATCAAGAGGTTATAATATTTCTTTAATTTGTGTTTTGATATTGATGTTAAAAGAAGTAATGGAGAAAATTTAGGAAAGAGTTAGAATGAACTTTGATTTATATTTGAATATAAAAATGAGTGGAGTTTATTTGGGAATTAAGATTTGAGGTGATATAATAGGATGGCCTAAATTAAGATGTTAGAATTTATGTTAAAAAATTTTGTTTTGATTTGTAATTTTAAAAGATGCAATGAGGAAATTTTGAATGAAGTTTGTTAAAAAATGTAAGCAATTGTACCTGTTTATGACCGGATCAAGACTTTGTTCTTAAAAGATATATTTTATGTTTATGTTTGAAAAAAAAATTAATAAAAAAAAATAAAGTTGAAAAAAGGTGAACAACATTTTTACAGAACTATAGACACGTTGAGGCAGGGTGTGACAAGGAGTGGCTGGGAGGGGAGGGGCCGGGCGAAGTGCCCCTTGACGTGAGTGATGTTGAGTTGGCAACACCCCCCAGTCACATGACCACCCAGTCATACCCACCCAGTCACATGACCACCAAGCCAGTTGATAAAAATTTTGAATCCCTCCACTCTGTGTGTGTGTGTGCGTGCGTGTGTGTGTGTGTGTGAGAGAGAGAGAGAGAGAGAGAGAGAACCTTGTATGTGGGAGTTTTTCTTCTCATTATAATGAGAATTGTGTGGATCCTGTGATCAAGCCAATTAATAAAAACTGCTTTAACTAGTAATCTATAAAAGAAAGTGTATAAAGTTAGTCAATGTACATTTGAAATAGAGGAAACAGAGGAAACTGCCAAGATGATCAATCTTCCAGAACAATTGTTTCTGGCATATTCACAATAATGTTGAGAGAAGATTATGAAAGGGGCTAAAATGATATTTTGCCTTGTTCTCCTTTTCTTTTTTAACTTCTGCTGCTCTTTCTACAGTAGTTGGATCAATAGATTAATCGCAGAAGCAAGATAAAATTTATTTATATATTGAGGGTATGGAAATAAATAAGCATTTACAGGTAATCCTTGATTTACAATCACAACTGGGTCTGGAACTTTCATCACTAAATTGCTAGGTAGGTCTTGCCCAAATTTTTGGTGAGGCAGTTAAGCAAATCACATGGTTGTTAAGTGAATCCAACTTCCCCCATTGACTTTGGTTCTTAGAAACCAACTAGGAAAGTCACAAATCACAATCATATGACCCTGAGACACTGCAACCATCATAAATACATGCCAGTTGCCAAGCACCCAAATGTTGATCATGTGTCCTTAGGCAACTGAAACAGTTGTAAGTGCAAGGACAGTTATAAATGACTTTTTTCAGCACTATTGAACTATATGGTCCTCTACTAAAAACCATTCATTTAGTGACAGTTCACAGTTACAATAGTGCTGAAAAAAGTTACTTACAACCAGTCCTTGCACTTACAACTGTTTCAGAGTGTGTGTGTGTGTGTGTGTGTGTGTGTGTGTGTGTGTGTGTGTGTACTGATATATATTTATGTTTCTATACAGAATACAGACTTTTGGGAATGTCTAAGCCCTTGTCAATAACAAAATAACAAGTTATTACACATTTTGCTTGTCTCCTAAATACAAAGCATTTCTGTCTTGCCTCTGTAATGATACTGCCAGTTAGTAATTAAAAAAAACTCCATGATCAGTAGTGAGATGAACTAATATCTGAAAGCAGGAAATACTTCTCATTTCTTTCAAATACTTGCTATAATTTCCACCAAACATTTTCCTTTGGGGAAATAAGTTATGTTTTACAATAATGATTTCTACTTCCTTCTGAAGGAAGTTAGTACTCACCCTTCTCCTAGAAAAATGAAATATTTTAGGATATACTAAAAAGGCAGAATATTTTCCCTAAAAGAGAAGCAGAAACTCAAGAGAAGCAGAAACTCAGCCCCCCACCTTTGTTAATGGGCCATTAAGACCTGAGACAGTCTATTCTACATAACAAAAAAACTCCTTCAGGCAGAGCCATTTAATTGCCGTTTATTGCACCACCCACCAAGTTTCAACCAAACTTGGCACACAGACAACCTAAAAGGCTAGCTATGACCTTTGGCAGTGTTGAATCCTTAGATTTACAGCCCTCATCGGGCTTTCCCCCTGCAGGAAGGTGCTGATTGGCCGAGCCGCTAGCAACAGCAAGAGCGGGAAGTTACCAGAGTTCGGATTGGTTAATATGTATCTGACAGCAACTATTTAAGCGCCTGTCAGAAGGGGGTTGTTCTGTTCTGTTACCAGAGTGTTCCTTGTTATAAGAGTTGTGTTAATAAATGACTTGTTAGAAGCAACAGGCCTCCGTGTGCTGCCTCTAGGATTCAATAGGCAGCAACCAATCAGGATACTCTTTCTGGGCCCCAGGAAGTTCAAAGCCAGAGAGGGCATAAAACCAAGGCACTCTCAGCATCTCGGACCTTTTCTGTTCAGGAACTCAAACCATGTGATCCTGTACACCATTAAACCATCTTTCTAAGCAGTCTCCATGTTTCCAGTGTCTTTTTCCCCACTTGGAGCTGAACCCAGAAGGATATTTCTTCCAACACTTCTGAAATATGACTCAAGACTCTTCAATTATTTTTAGACGATTGCTTAATTATTATCAGGAATGGCCTTTGTTATCAACTTACCTTCAGGAAAAGTACCTAGTTTATGAGAACAAGCAGAGCTTTTCTTACTGTTTTCAATGTTGACCAACAGGCTGGACTGAATTTTTCTGTGTATCTTTTGGGAAACAGGTGCAGAAAATATTTGGTTATCTGGTGCATCAACTTTGACTCCACTGCAAAATCCACTTTCACTATTCAGACTTCTGAGGCTATTTTGTTTTTTGCTGGTTCCTTCCTTATACTTGTCAAGTGGCAAAGTATTTGGCTGAGGCAAACACTGAGATTGTGCTTTAAAAATATGTTAAAGAAAAGAAAGAATTAGAGCAGTTAACTGTTGTAATGATGCCTATTTAAACAAAGTTTTCCAATGTTCAGTCACGTTTACATAACTATGACCTGCTGACTATGAAAGTTCATCAGATTAAAAATACTGATTGCAATAGATTAGATTATAAATTGCTTTAACTAATACATTTGGGGGTTTTATTATAAGTTATATTATCTTTGATTATAAAATCACATTATGCAGGACTGATAAAGTCATCAAGTATCTGCTAATATTTGATTACTAATGAACAATCTGAATATATATTTTAAAAATTGAGATCATTGTAGCAGTGTCACTGAATACAGAAAAAATATTTTATATAATGCAGTGAAAATTTCTGGAACAAGTTTTCTGTAAATATGTATTTCTCCTACTTTAATTGGATTAGTATATCTAGTATACTTTCTGTTGGACTTACTACAAATGGAATTTCATCTATAAGGAGTGTCCAGGATCATCCAGGAAGTTCCTCAAATCTTTTTTTTTTTAACTTGTTATTGGAGCAAATGGTCTGCCATATTACACAAATATATTTAGATATAATACTGACTCGAGTTTGAGATAAATTACTACTATATACTAATGATGATATTCCAGTTTTCAGTTGTGTGGACTTCAACGCCCCAAAATCCCCAGGGTAATTCATTCCATACATCTTAAGTTGCCATGTTTGAGAAACACTGCTTTAAACACTAACTATGGATTTAATTTTGATCTCCCAGTGAAACCATGTTAAGAGATTTACTTATTTACTGTAAGAAATTTTGAGGTTTTAAGGATTTAAAACCTCAGAGATTGTTAAATATTCTGAGTCAAACCAAGTTTCTCTAAAATAGATTAAAAATTAACGTATCTGTAGGCAACAAGCTCCCATGGCTGTTAAACTAAAATTAGAATTTTAAAAAATAATTAAGACAATATTGCTAAAAGCGCAAAAAAAATTACAGTTTATAAAGGCAGAATATAAAAACTAAAACAAAAAAAATGAGACTCCCCCCTCTTTATATAACACATAATACACAATTATATACATTTCCAGAAGTAATTCAGAAAAAATATATTTTGGTTCCCTTTGAAAAAAACACCAAGGCAGAACTCTGAAACCACCATACCTATTTTTTAATTATAGAAAATCTACTTTAGGAAATGAATGGTTTTATGCATATGGAGCTCATAAAATACACTTCCTAAGACAACTAGGGTAGAAATCCTTTGGGCTTTCAATAAACAAACAGATTCTGATGAAAATATTTTAAAATGTTTCATATAGTAGTGGAATATATTCACTAATTTCTGGATTATATACAAAGTAATCCTTGCATGTATTACAGATGTACCTCCAAGTTACTAAAAAGTAAATAACAGGACAACTGTTTTACAAGCCTTCCAATTTTGTCAATTTCAAGATTAGAAACCTCTTTCTATTGATTGCTAGGGAAAATGTTTTGCATCCTTTTTGAGGGTTTAAGATTCTTTCTATGGAGTTATTCAAAAATGTATTTAAGTGAGGCATGTCTAGAACTGGATGGTAAGAACTTCATTGTGGAGAAGAAAGCCAAAAATATTGAGAGGTTGGGCTGGGCTGACTCAAATCATCCCTGATTATTTAAAAGTACTCTTACAATCAGTCCTTTGAACTAAGAGAAATTTTACACACTGGTATATTAACATTGATTAACTTTATTAAATAAATGAAACAAGCACCAAAATATGAAGTTACTTCTTCACTGAGACTCTTTTTATCTCAGTAGGACCTGAATGAACCTCTGATAACATCTAGGGACAAAAGTAGGCAAGAATTTGGAATATCAATCAATCAATCAATCAGAATAGAGCTGGAAGGGACCTTCAAAATTTTTTAGTCCAACCCCAGCTCAAGCAGGAGATCCTATACCATTTCAGACAAATGACTATCCAGTCTCTTCTTAAAAACTTCTAGTGATGAAACACCCACATTTGATGGCAAGCTATTCCACTGGTTAATCGTCCTCAGTTAGGAAGTTTCTCCTTAATTCCATTGGTTACTTCTCTCCTTCATTAGTTTCCATCTATTGTTTCTTGTCCTGCCCTCTGATGCTTTCAAAAATAAGATGACCCCTTCCTCTTTGTGGCAACCTCTCAAGTACTGGAATACTGCTATCATGTCCCCCCTAGTCCTTCTTTCCTCTAAACTAGCCAAACCCAAATCCTGCAACTGTTCATGTTTTTGTTTCCAGGTCTTTAACCTTCTTAGTTACTCTTCTTTGCACTTTTTCCAAAGTCTCAATATATTTTTGTAATGTGATGACCAAAAGTGGATGCAGTATTCCAGGTTCTTACTAAGACTTTATAAAACAGTAGTAATACTTCATGTGATTTTGATTATATGCCTCTGTTTATACAACCAAGAATTATATTAGCTTTTTTGCCTGCTGCCGCACCCTGCTGGCTCATATTTAAGTCATTGTCCACTTGGATTCCAAAATCCCTCTCACAGTTACAGTTATTTAGCCAGGTTTCACCTAATCTGTACTTGTACCTTTGGTTTTTCCTGCCTAAGCGTAAAACTTTGCTTTTTTCCACATTAAATTTCATTTTGTTGTATAGGGCCCATTGTTCAAGTCTGTCAAGATCTTTTTGGATCCTGAGTTTGTCTTCTGGGGTATTGGCTATTCCTGCCAACTGAGTGTCATCTGCAAATTTGATGAATTTCCTTTCTATTCCCTCATCTAAGTCATTTATGAAGATATTGAAGAGTACTGGGCCTAAAACAGAACCTTGTGGTACCCCACTGCTTACTTCTCTCCATGTAGATGTAGTACCATTAAGGACGACACGTTGATTACAGTTTGTCAGCCAGTTACAAATCCATCTGTTGGTGATATTGTTTATCCCACATTTTTCTACTTATCAAGAAGTAGGTTGTGGTCTACTTTGCTGAATGCCATGCTGAAGTCTACAGCATTTCACTGGTCTACTAATTTAGTCACTTTGTCAAAGAATGAAATAAAATTGGTTTGACATGATCTGTTTTTATCTTCTATTCCCTTTATCTTTTCCAGTATCTTCCCAGGTATTGATGTTAAGCTGATTGTTCCGTAGTTTCCTGGGTCTGTTTTTTTTCCTTTTTTGAAGATGGGAACTACATCAGTTGTTTTCCAAACCTCAGGTAATTCCCTGGTGTTCCAGGATCTTTGAAAGATATGGCACAATGGTTCTGAGATAACATCTCAGATAACTGGGATATAATCTGTCAGGTCCTAGTGATTTATATTCATCAAGTTCAGATCGGTGTTCTTTAACCATTTTCTTGCTTATTTTAATTTTTATTTCTGGTCTGTCCTTTATAGTTATACTTTTGGTGGATTGGGCTATCGTTTCTTTTTGCATGAAGACTGATGTAAAGAATGAGTTAAGCAGTTCTGTTTTCTCTTTGCTGTCTGTTACTTCCTTGCCATCTTCTTTCTTAAGTGAACCTACTTTTTTCTTGATTTTTTTTCCTTGTTATTTATATGTTGAAAGAAACTTTTTTATTATTATGTTTGACTTTTGTTGCAAGTCTTTGTTCATTCTGAACCTTTGCTTTTCGGACTTCATCTTTGGGCTATCTGTTGATACTCTGCCTTAGTTATGTGTCCCTCTTTCCATTTTTTTTTTGAACAATTTTTTTTTATTTTTTAAAAACACATAAACATACAAAAATCTTTTCAGAACGAGCCATTGATCTGGTCATAAGTAGGTACAATCACTAATTCCTCTTTAACAAAAGCTTTTCCCAAATCCCCACTAATTACCATCCTTTTTTAAAAAAAAAAGCAAGAAAAAAAAGAAATTATCTAACATATCATTTTACACAAATCAATTACCTTCTATTATTTCACCACAAATCTTAATTTTCAAATAACACAACTTAATATTCTCTAACATTGTTGCCATAAATTCTATCTGATAAAAGAATTTTTTTTAAAAAACCCATTACACTCATCTTAAAGTCCTTAATTCAATATCATTTCAATTTCTTTTCCTTTTAATATGGATGGATATATCTTAAAAGTATAAATCATCAAAGTATTAACTGTTAGCATTTATCATCTTCATTTTACTATTTATCTCATCTTAACCCTTTTAATCACAACATAATCATTTCATTGTTAGTATTAATTCCAGTATGGTCATCTTTATTTCTAAAGGTTTATCCCAGCATATAATCTTAATTTTAGTCATCCTCTTTTGGCTGTTAATCACAGCATAATCTTCTTAAGTTTTACTGTTACGCCCAGTATAATCATAGTTTTTACTGTCAATCCCAGCATAATTATTTTTATTTTTACTGTTATACTCAGTATAATCATCTATGTTTTGCTCTCTATCCCAGCATAATCACCTTAGTTTGCTGCTTATCCCAGCATAATCACCTTTTTTAAAAATTTTACCATCCATCTATACATTGCTTATTAATGTTCAATCACATTGTCATTATCATCTTTATAACAATTTAACATTAAGGCTTAGTTCTTACTCCAAACACATCCTTATGTAAATTAATAAATTTCTGTTAATATATTCTATTCCTCTCATATTCTTACTTTCTTCTTTATTTCAATTTTTTATATATTATATCAAATTCTTCTCATATCCATATTCATTTTTATTCATCTATAGAAACCTCCTTTTTATTATTACTATCCATCTATGCATTGCTTTATTTTTAATCACATTGTTTCTATCTTCTTTTTCCAGCCGTGTGTATATCGTTCCTCATTTCCTTGTCTGTTAGCAGATATTTCATTTCAATTTCAATGTTCACAATTTAATTTTCCATATATCAGTTTAGTTCTTTTTCTTACTTCTATTTCAAACAAATCACATCAATTTTCTTCTTTTGTTCCTGCGCCATTTGACTTCTTTTGTTCCTGCACCAATTAGTCCAATTATAAGAGTTCCATCATACTTTCCCTCCCCCCCCTCACCAAAGACAAAT